ATTCAGTTCTAGGAGCAACCCAGCCTGAGCTAAGCCAACTCTGCGGCCCTCGATGGGCGGGGCCTAGGGCAAGCCCCGCCCCGCCGCTCACCTGAGCGGTTGCCCTGGCAGCAGGCCGGGCGTGCGTGGGTGAAGCTCATAGTGGGCCCGGCCTAGCGGCAGCATCTCATCCCCTATGATCACCTGGCCACACACTGGCGGAGACACACACACACCCTTCGCTGCTGCCTGCACGCAGGCTGGCCTGCTCTGCCGGAAGGGACACCATTCAATACTGGGGCCTAAGGCCTTGGCTTGGGCCAGTCCCAGGCCACAGAGAAGGGGGCCTGAGGCCCTCACAAGACCAGGGACACAGTTATTCTGATCGCCTCTAGGACTAAAAGGTGAGATTGGTACCCTACCCTGTGTTGTGAAATGGCATCTCTACTTTCCCTTCTCCTCTCTAGATTTTTTTTTTGGGGGGGGGGTGGGGGGCTCAAAACTGAAGGCACTGCAGAAAAGTCCACTAATGTACACTGGGGGAGGGGGGAGGGAGCTGAAGGGAAACCCGCTGAGGTGGTGATTATTCATAGCCACCCTGTCCTGACAGACATGCCTAAATATTTTTCAAAAATTCTCGTTTCCTTTTGATCTTGACCCACAAAATGACAACTGTTGTTTATCCCCAGTTCATAGACGAAGTCATTAAAAACAGCCTATTATAGTTAACCTGTGGGTGAAATGGTTATAAAGGGTTGGGGGGGGGAGTAACCATAGTAGATTCCCCTGTACTACACTCCTCTGTCAAGTGTGACTTCATCCATTTTTCTAATGGACCACCGTTGTCTTGTGGACTTTGTGGAGAATTTAAAGGTCTCTATATCTCCGCATGAAGTAAAACTGCCCCTGGAAAATCATCTGAATGCATACAAGAGAAGGGAGGAACAGAAAGGGGGTGGATTTTTTAAATATTTAAGAATATTCATACTCCAATCAAAACAAGACACTGTAATTACATGACACCACCATCTTCCAGCTCAAGGACTGACTAGGGACCTGCTGAACCCATTATCCAGAGCTCAATTGAACCACGATGCCAGCTTTTGTTGTTTGTGTGTGAGGGAAGTATTTTTGTTTTAATGAATAGAATCAGACAGTATCAAAGTATTTGTGAAGTTCCTTGTCCTCACAAATAAGGCACCTTTGGTTCAGTATAATCAATAAACTATTTAGTGGTATCTTGTCCTTTTCCATGCATATGTGTATATATGTGTAGTGTGATGCTGCACCAAAAGTGAGTTATGAATACATCTGAAATGAGTGTCAGTAAGCCATGCTGCAAAGGCAGATGGGAGACAAACCCAGGCTTACTTGAAGTCTGTTGATAAAAAAGGTTTGAACAAACTACTCCACTGAGTGTTGAAGATAGTCTAGAAGGGGAGAGAGGGCCTACTGAAAGGAAGCAGGACATTGATTTCTCAGTGATGTGATGGCTGATATCTCTGTAGCAAAGGGGAAAAGGGCAGAAGGGCGAGGACAAGAAAAGGCTCATCCTTAAGGGTTTAATATTAGTGGTTTCTCTTCTTGGTTCTATTTTTAGCTGCTCTGTAACTGCTGAAGACCTCATAACCCACCACGGAACTGCATCAGACATCTTCCCTAACGTCTCAAAATCGGATATCATCTTGTCTAACCTTTCAGTATGCCAATAGGCTGTCTACTCTGCCTGACCAATGAGCCCACCATGATCAGCCCATTTCAGAGACAGGTATCAGATCAGAAACCTGGGAATTTTCTTTCATGCTTCCCCTGCAATTCTTTTAACTTGAAGCTGTTAAGCATTGAGATTGAGAAAGTACTTGTTAAATGCTTCCTGTAATTCAGTTTCTCGGGCATAGATAAATAACAATAGTATAAATCTTACATTCCATGATGACCATATTCTAATGGGAAAGACACATAATGCACAGATTAAATATATTTATCTTTCTTTTTCTTTCTTTCATTTTTTTTTTCTTTTGTAAGATAGAGTTTCTCTGTGTAGCACTGTCTGTTCTGGAATTTTCTCTATAGACCAGGCTGGCATATTTAATATTTGCTCATTTCACTGAATAGTCAAAAATGTAAAAAGGACTGGAAATACATAATAGATACCAGTTCAGACTATGTGTATTAGAATGTGTCTGCACTTTGCTTTGAATTGCATCAAAAAACTAACAGCAGATAAGGGCATGGATAGATATGAAATCAAGCAACTATTGGTAGCCTTATTGGTAGTTTCTAAGTGGTGAATATATAGGCATTGAACACACACTTAGCATTTTTTAAAAATTATCCTAAATTTTTTTTTTTTTGGACCAAAGCGTGTATGATTCTGTCTTATCTACATTTTAAAAAGACTTTTTCCTTGAAGTTGTCTAAAGAATGGAATGTAGAGAGCTGTTAGAGAAGGAGAGAGACAAACTGGAAATCTGGCAATGAGTGGCCTAAGGCAATAGTGCAGTGTTGATATCAAGACAGACATTGGTGGCAGAGATCATGAGATTTGGTGATGTTTTGAGTGGGGGTATCTGAGAAGAAATAAAAGAATGAAACATAACTCTAGTGGTATATGAGTAAGTGGATAGTTGTTGGTACCATTACCAAAATTGGGAAGAAATGGAGAAAGTCAGGGTAATATATATTCTGCAATGGTTATATTACTTTTTAAAGGCAATGTATTCTTTGGGAAATGCATACATATTCCAAACATATTATGACAGTATCCACCCTCCATTTCCATCTTCAGTTACCCCTGGATATCCCCCAGCATGTCTCCCTTCGTGTGCTCTTTTTATTTTTATTTTTTAAATGTTCCTTGTTGTCCAATTAGTGTTGCCTATACATTAATGAGTATAGGGCCCCTTGCAGGAGCATAGACAACTTACCAGTGGTCACAACCTAAAAGAGATGTGCTCCTTCTCTCCCAGCATCTATCAATTGGCCCTTAGCTATGACATGTTAGTGAAGTCTATCAGCTATAGATGGATAACAGTCTTTTTTAATCTGGGGAGAGTTCATGAGGACTATGTAACCTGAGAGTGGAGAATCAGAATCTGAAAAGTGGGATAAAGGTGAGAAGATGGTGATAGTCACAGAGTTCCCAAGGATAAAGGTCATGACACTCCAAGACCTATCAAGACACTCCAACAATGAGATATCAATCATAAAAAATAGAGCCAGCAAAGGATACAGTAGAGGAGCGGGCAGCGATAAAGGAAGAAACAGGCAAACAGAGCCTAGCTGGTTGCCTATGGAAACATGAAGAAGGAACAAGAAATCAGTGGTGCACTTCACTTCCCTAGAACATGTAGTTGAAGGAACCAGATTGTGATGGAGGAAATAATGTGTGTACTTGCTGATTTTGTAATAAAACAGAATATCTCCATTGCAGTTTTAACTGGAGAATGGCATATAGGGGTTGTTGTGGAAGCAGTAAGACATGTGGCTAGCTGCCTGGTGCCAAGGTAAGACTTACAGAAGAAGGAAGATAGATTTTCTTATGCAACCTTAGATATAAGATGGGGGTGGCATGGATGTCTGATGCAGTGAGACCCAGAGCACAGCTGTTGCCATCAGTTTGTCTTCATCCTTTCTGCAATAGCCCCAATGGCAACATCCACTGACCGGTAGCTTCAGCAGTCACAGCTTTTCTACATAGTTCTGCTAGAGGAAGCTGCAGGATACTGATTGGCCAGCATCTCCTAGTTGTATACAGTTATGCAATTTATTACACCTGGGGACAGATGGTTCACTGCAGTGGGACTTGACTAGGGGCAGAAGGATAGCCCCTACTTAAAACTGAATGAGGTTTCTTCCCCCTACCCTATCACCAGAAAGCTAACATGCATTCATTCAATGGTTATTTTTCTAGAAAAATAATGAGGTGAAATTTTACATTGATGTTACTTATGAAAATTTTAGTTGTCTCTCCTCACACATAGCAACCTTAACCTCACTTAAGAAAATGTAAGACTCATCCCTTCTACAGGGGTCCCAGCCACTGGCAGTGAAACACACTAGGTGAGGTTAAAAAAAAAAAAAATGAAAGACACCATGAAAGACCGTGTAGGGTCAAAGCTTCTGGAGTCTTACACAAGCTTATTTTAGACACATTTAAATCTAATACAATTTTGGGGGAAAAGTTCCCTGGTCATAATAATTATCCCACTCCTATGTGCTCAATAAAGCTTAAGGCATAACTACAGTGAAACTCCTTTGTGAAGTACATGTGATCTCTACAATGCAGATGGGTTCCATAACTTAAGGGTCTAGGATTTGTTGTGGCCTCTCAACAATATAGCATAAAGGTCAATAGGCTATAAAGTACACCTCCCCTAAGGATGAGTTCTGTTGACTGAGAAACAAAACTAAAGATAAGGCCTAAAGAAGAATCTGGGGTAAACATTTTGGAGGATTTGATTAATGTCTGGATCTATAGATAGCAAAGGTAAGCTCATTAACAATATCCACCTTCAGCCTTCTGGGTGGAAAACAGGTATTAATTTCTTCCTTGGAAGAAACAGCCTGCATAATTAAATTTCCTGGCTTCTCCAATGCTTGTCTGCAACCACTCAGGCCTTCTATACACTTCTAGCCTAGTGGACTCATGTTCTTAATGAACATGACTGAACAATGTGTATACTTATCTATATACGTCAGTATAGCGGAAATACTGGTGTGAGCCACAGATTGGAACTTCACTTTCTTCATGGCTAATGTAAACATTGTGGCAGTGAGAAGAGCTTAATTATGACAAGGGAACCACCACACAAACTAGAATTAATTACTCTGGGAAAATTGAACTAGTTTAATGTTAACCAGGTGCATGTTTTTCAGTTATATATAATATTTTCAAGAAGCAGTTGAACTAAATCATTTATTTGAAAACCTCTTTTTGAGTTTTAAGATACTGTAACTTAATTTAAAAAAAAAAAACAGTAAGTTAACTTTCTTGTTTTCCCTTTTTGCTCTATAGCTTTCGTCTTAGTCCAGAAAGCATTATTAAGAAGTGAACGTCTAACATGGCTTTAGCAGACAAGAGACTTGAGAACTTACAGATATACAGGGTTCTTCAGTGTGTTCGAAACAAAGACAAGAAGCAGATAGAGAAGCTGACCAAACTTGGGTACCCTGAGCTAATCAACTTCACTGAACCCGTTGATGGACTGAGTGCTCTCCACTTAGCCTCTGTTTCCAACGACATTGACATGGTTAGCTTTCTCCTTGGACTTGGCGCTCACCCTGATGTGCAAGACCGCATGGGATGTACTCCCACAATGAGGGCAGCGGAGCTGGGCCATGAGTTGTCAATGGAAATTTTAGCCAAAGCCAAAGCTGATATGACGATAGTTGATAATGAAGGAAAAGGTAAAACTTCACATTCTGTCTAGCAAAATGTGCTCACTTTGTAGGCAGAAAGCAAGAAAGTTTCCTAGCTTCAGAATGAAATAAGATCTTTAGTAAAGGATTCAGTTTCCACTGCTATACTAAAATGTATAGATTCCTCATAACCGGAAACACCTTAGGAACATCATAGGAAAAAAGTTCTTAAGGCCACTCACTTAAATTAAGCAACTAGATTGATCTATATGTGATCTTTTCTTTTCTTACTCTTTTTTTTGTTTAGCCTTTGAGACTGGGTCTCAGCTCAGCTAACCTTGAATTTTATCATCTTGCATGAAGCTCTCAAATATTGAGATTAAAGATAGGGACCTTCATGTCTGGCTTGGCAGATTCATTCAAGTGAGGACAGCTTTCAGCTTTACCCATGCAGCTAGTGCCATAGTCATTTATAGTGAAGGGTAAAATCCTGTTAAAGTAGAAGCATTCCTTACATTTTAGAACATGATTGAGTTAGACTTAGGACTTTAGGTGGATTTTGTCCTGTCTGGTTCCCAGGTTACTATAAAAAAGACTGCATTTCAGATCCTGAGAAAATTATGGTGGGTTTTGCTTAAAGGCCAACTTTGTAAGGTCAATGTTTAATACACTTGGAAATATAACTTGGAACTACATATGGCTGTTGAAAATTATTACATGTCTAATTTCACTGACAATCTATTGGTCTCAAAAACATGGTCTGGAAATTTTTCATAGTTGAGGTCCAGGCCATAGTTGAACCAGCCTCATGAAAATTAACAAAATAACTACAAAAAGACTCAATGCAAAATGGCAGATCGAATCAGTTGTCCCAGAGGATTGCCACAACTACAAACTCATAGATACTAACCTAGACTGAAGAAATGAATCCCATTTTACATTGTTAATGTTTTCTGACAGGAGGAAAACTTAGTTCATAACTCACTGCAAACTTGATATTTGATATATATGGCTTGCACTAGATTCACATAGCAAAATAAATTTCAGATACATTTAGAAGTCAAATACGGTTTACATTTTTAAATACTGAAAACACAGCTGTTTGAGTTTCATAAAATAGTTGAATGTGGGGACCCACACATAGAATTCCAACAATGAGGAAGCAGAGACAAAAGGATTATAGTGGTTTGAGGCCAACCTGGTCTATATAGCCATTTCTGCATAGTGAGCTTCAGTTGAGCCTGGGGTACCCAGTTGAGAGCTTGTCCCCACCCAAAGTTTCATAGAATGCCATCTTCTAATGCACCTTCCATGAACTATGGAATCATTGGGATGTTAAAGTCGCACATGCAAAATTGGTCCTACTACTGAATTCACTAAACAAACATTGAATAAACCAAATCGAGCCATCCTCCTTTGTTCCTGTTGGGACAAAGTCAAAATAATTTTGCATGTGTATTTGACTATGAAGTAGCTGATCCACGTGGCATCAAACATACTTTAAGTTGTTTAGAAAAAAGCTGTGATGAAAAGTTTGTTTTCTTGGCTTAGAGTCAAGATATATAAAACAAACAGAATATATTAGAATGAGACATTATATAGCATAAAAATCTAATGTAAAGTAAAATTGGGAACAAGGTCAAAATAAATATTTGTAGCAACTACAACAGCCATATGGATAATATTTATGCTCATTCAAATTAATATTAAGCTAATAAATGGCTGAGTTATGTGAACCTATGGGAAAAAACAATATAAGTCACATGGTGAGAAACAAAATATGAACTAAAATAAATGTGTTTTTCATACATTACCTCGTAATTTGATTCATTGTTAACACAGGGCCCCTGTCTTTTCTCTCTGAGGGAGCTTTATTTGGCTTGCACACCCTCAGCTGAGAGGCCACCACTTTGTTTATTCCAGGATAATCTCTGACATTGACATCCTGTTTCCTGGTGCTTGAAGCTTGACTGACTAGTGCTATTTCTACAGGACAAGAAAACATAATATTTAAATGTGTCATTACAAGGACATGACATAGGCTATAGGCTTTTATCTCTAAGTTACAAAAGTCATCATTTGCAAATATGCACTTCAAAAGCACCTTAGGTCCTTATAACAAATTTAAAGCCAGATTTATATTCAGAGTTTGATTTGGTTCGGTTTTCTGTTACGTTGTTTTGGTCAGCTCTAACTTCCTTTTTAAATTGTATTTTATTTTTAAGATTATATTATATTCCTAATATTTATAATACATCTCTCTTCCCTTTCCTCCGCCAAAACCATCCCATATATCCATTCCTGCTCTCCTTCACAATATATATATATATATATATATATATATATATATATATATATATATATATATTCCTAAATATCTGTTCAGTTCATACAGTGTTACTTGTATGTGTGTTTTCAGGGCTGACCATTTGTCATTGAACAACCAATTGGTGTGTTCTTTCTTGGGGAAGACCATCCTTCCTGCTCACAGCTTTCCTCACTTGCCTGTAGTTCTTTGTGTAGGATTGGGGCTTTGTGGGCTTTTTCCATCCTCTTTGACTTGCCAGTTGGTGTTATCCTGATTCAGCTCACGTTTGGGTAGTCATGTTGGTGAGACTTTTTGGATGGAGCTACTGATATTACTAGGAGACACACTATCACAGCAAACTCCCTGATCCTCTGGCTGACAGCTCACACTTTCTATATACACTAGAAAACGTTGATTTTCTATTTTTAACTATGTCTTTGACTGGCTCTCCATCCAGATTTCCCTGGCTACCCCTTCCCTTCCTCCCCCTTCACCTTCCTCCATTCCTCTCTTCTTAATTCTTCTGTAGTTTGGGGATAAAACCCAGTCTCTAGTAGCTAGAAAAGTCCTTTATCTTTGAACTACATTTAAAGTCCTATCTTTGTTTTTCCAAATTTGAGTAATCCTATTTTAGGTGTGTCTTCCTATTTAAAGTTTTATTTTGTATATAACTTCACCTTTAATAATGTGATTTTATCTACACTGTGTCTAAGTCTCCATAAATTAGGCTTCAAAACTGTCATTTTATTTTATATCATGAAGTTACACATGTGTGTATGTATACAAAAGTATCTTCCTATGTGTTTTATTCCAGGGTTTTTCCCCCCTAAAACTAATAGTATTTTAGTTTTCTTAGTGGGTGCTTTGATTGCTTTCCACATGTTTGAAACTGTATCATCCAGCTATACCTTTTGACTCTATTTGTGAAGACTCATGCTGGTATAGAAACCTCAGTTCTATGGTCAGTTATAATAACTGAGCTCTCCAGTGAATCCCTTTGTCCTCTCAATTAATACTTTGTTGTTCCCTTAATCTCTTTAGAAAATATCATATGTGTATGTTATCTATTTCCCCCTCCCAAATTTTTGTTACATGATTTTTACATTATAACAAATATGTAATTCATTATAATGAATTTATCTGTCTTTACCTAGAATTCCTCCAGCAATTTAGCTTTAGTGCTATGATTGAAGAGATGGCAGAGACTCCTATGCACACTGTTGACCTATTGGTAGATTTGATTTTATGAGGTTCTTTAGCCCACTCATTTGGTCTTGTCTTGCTGATTTCTTATATCCATAGTCATGTATGTGTGTAAATGTTGGTTTTGCAAATAATCAGCAACTTGACTGTTATAAAAATTTTTCTATTTTCTTTTCCTGTGACATTATAGAGTCCCCTTTTAAAAGATCTTGACTGCAATGTTCCCATAAGAAGTCTTGGAGGTAGCCTGGCTTCGTATGAGGTGGGAGGTAGCCTGGCTTCCTATGACATTTTCTTCACCTGGCTTTACCTCATGTCGATTGTCCTTAAGCAAGTGTTCACTCCTGATCTTCAGATTCAGTTTTTTCATTCAAGAAATTGTCACTGTAACTCTATGATTTTCCTGACAAGTGCTGTCTTTTATTATTAAATTACGTGTCTGGTCATCTTTGCTTCTCCTTCAGTCTCCTCCACGTTTATGTGACTTTCACCTGCCTTTGTCCACAGTTGATACAGGCCCTTCACTTCCTTTCCCTGCTTGCAATGTGACTTATAATCTTTAATATCTTTCCTTGAGTCCTGCTGGCTCAATTCTGTTTTTTCTTTCTGTCTTCTGTTCTCTTCATTTGGTGTGTCTCTGCATTCTTATTTTTGAATGCATTATATTTAGTTTCTTGGCTAATATAAAAACAGGCTAGCCAAACATTTCCATTAATTGCTTTGTTCTTATTTGCTTTTATTATCCATTTCCCTATCTTTGTTATGGTGCCTTTTTCATAGTTCACATACTTGTTTCCTTAGGGCTGTTGCTCATTTTTGAATGGAGCTCCTTTTGGGAGCAAGTCAGTATGGAATTTAACTTTTATTTTAGTATAGCTTGCTTGCCCCCACACTTTCAGGGTTGTAACAACATATTGTACATAGTACAGTTTTGGCATAGGGTATGTTGATATAGAGGATATAGGTCCCAAGAATGAAGATTTAGCCTTTTCCTCTTTTTGGTGAAACAAAGTGACCTACAATTAGGGTAGTGGATTTTGTTTTTCTTTTTACTGCTATGAAACCAAGAGCCTTGCTCCCTATAAACATGAGTTCAAAAGGAACTCAGGATACACGAGGAACTTCCTGGCTCACACATCCCTGAAGAGTTGGAGTCACATGGGGTATGGACCATAAGTTGCCAAATCCCCAGAGTCAACAAGGACTCCAAATCTCCCCTACTTCAAGTCCTTTAAGATTAAGTTGTAACTGTTTTCAAATCCATCAAAGACACATCTTATGAACTTTTTAATTCTCCTTTTTTTCTTGCCAGATTCAATATATAGAGATTTTTAATTTTTTCTATTTCTTTTTAAAACTTTAATTACAGTGCTTCTCCCTCCAAACCTTCCCATATTCTCCACTCTCCTTCAAATGTATGGCCTCTTTTTTCATTTATTAGTTATTAATATGCATGTGTGTTTTTATATATGTATATATCTACATATTACCAAATATAACTTGAGACATCCATATGATGTCACATGTATGTATATACGTTTTGGGGGCTGGCTGCTTGGCACTGGACAAGGAATTCTCATTGTGGAACTGATTTTTCTCAGGTGTCTTGTTTTACTGCATTTTACCCACAAAGCGACATTATCGATGTGCGTTGATTGCCTTGGAACATGGTGCAGATGTCAACAACGCCACCTATGAAGGAAAACCAGTGTTCCTCAAAGCTTGTGAAGAAGCACATGATGTGAAGGATATATGCCTGACATTTTTGGAGAAAGGAGCCAATCCTAATGCTATCAACACAGTATGACTGTGATTAATATTTCTTTACTATATATTACACAGTCAAGTAGTTGGGTTTGGTGGTGGTGTTTCTTGTTTGTTTTATTTTGTTTTGGACTTAATCATAGTAAAATAGCAGCCCAGAATGGTGGTGCATGCCTTTAGTTCTAGCATTTGAGAGACAAGGCAGACAGATCTCTGTGAGTTCAAGGTCAGCTTGGTCTACACATACTAGGCCAACCAGGGCTACATAGTGAGAGCTTATCTCAAAACAAAACAAACAGAAACAAAGGCAGGGTGGGATGTGAAGGAGCCATGGTAAAATTGCCGTTAGCCTGTTCGTCTCTATTCAAAGTGCTGAAGATGACACATTTTTATTGTCTTTATATCTCTGTCATTCCATACTTGCTAATTGTGTTTGTAAATTGGTACTAATTAAGCATATTGTCTGGATATTATTATAGCAAACAGAAAGGGTGTCATTGACACCCAATAAAATATATCTCCATAGAAAGAAAATTCTGATATATATATATATATATATTCTCCTTTCCTAAGCTAAGTTGGTGTTTTCAGGTTTTGTAATTATCACTTCCAGACATCCAGAAATACTTTTTAACATGCTGCCCCCACTTTTATTTTATGCACTGCTTTCTTTGCAGAAATATGTGTTGAAGGCATGACATTCCTACTTGGGGTATGCAGAGCAACCTTGACTCTGGCTTTAAAATTTCATTTCAGATAGTCACACACAGTACTGACTGAATGCTTCCTCCTTTTTATTTTTTTTTAGATGAAACCAATAAAAACATAGAGCATTAAACTTCTTAGCATAAAGCTAAGACCTAGTGAATTCAGCCCATGTTTGTGTTGACCATTGTTCATCCATAAAAGTAAAAACAGTCTTTGATCTGTTTCATGTCTAGTCCACAGGGCGCACGGCTTTGATGGAAGCATCAAGAGAAGGGGTTGTGGAAATAGTTCGAGGCATATTGGAAAGAGGAGGTGAAGTGAATGCATTTGACAATGATAGACACCACGCTGCTCATTTTGCTGCCAAAGGAGGCTTTTTTGATGTAATAATTGCTCTTTGCTTTAAATTTGACTGTTAAAGACTTCTTTCTTTTCTCTTTTTCATGTAGGTTACACTAAGGCAGGTAGTTTTCTAAGTTTCTTATCATCTTGATTTCCCCAAATTTAAAACTTTAATTCTGACCACATATCTTACTCTTTACCAGTGCTAACACATTCATTGAATATTACTAGCAATGTTTTTCCATGTGGTCAACTATGACACTTAAAAATCCCGCCACCTAGAACAATGCTGGGTTATGCGTCTGATAGGCACTGCTGCCTGGCGATTTCTGTCATCTGTGACAATGCTGCTTGATAGAAACTTTTGGGAATGATAAAACACATCTGTACTTCAGCAGCATATTAGCCCATACATGGCCTTGGAGCACTCTAAATGTATCTTACAAAGACTAAAGAATTGAACTTTAAAAATTCATTTCAGTTTGAATTTTCAGCAATCATATGTGGTAATAGACAACAGATTGGATGGCACAGGTCTAGCTGCCAATCTTCTTGTAGTAAATGAGCATTCCCATTTTTACACTCCCTGTTTATTTTGCAGATATTGAAGCTTCTCTTTGCCTACAGTGGAGACATGGGATTGATTGGAATGAATGGGAACACACCACTTCATTATGCTGCTATGGGAGGCTTTGCAGATTGCTGTAAATATATAGCTCAGCGAGGTAAAACTATCTGATAGTTCATAAGTGATTAGAAAATTCTTATCTACTTAATTTTCAGTTATCAATCCTCACCCAATGTAGGAAGAAAATGGAACTTTTTCTCATATAGTTGCCCATTGAATTATTAATCCAGTAATAAGAGGGAATTAAAACCTAAATCAAAAGGGATTCGATTTTCATGGGTTAACTACTTATCAATCACCCACTAATTGGTTGTACATCTAAAGTTTAATTCTTGTAGAGATATATTTGTACTTTGTTATATTTTATGTCTTTTTCTAGCTTATTTGTTATGAAGGACAGAAAAAGAATTGTAAAATAAAACAGTATCTTCTTTTCCTGTCCTCCATAAATGAATTTGAGAACCATTAATATATATGAGATCAGGCTCACTTAACTAATAATATAATTGACTTGGTTTTACTTTTATAAGCCCATACTTCTCCCAATAACAAACTGTTTTAACAAATAAAACTACGTCATATGCAATTCTTGCCTAATAAACTGTCTAATTAGTCTTATTATTAAATGTGTCACTATCAGCATTTTATTCTGACATTTCATTTCTAACAATGCAGATTTCTAAATGTTACTAATCATTCAAGGATGAGTCAGTCTAATCATCTTTAGTATGTTGAACAGTTTCTTACTGGGACATATGTCACCACACATGTACTCCACTGATAATGTATCTTAGGAAACAATACTGGAATGCAGCCCCAAGAAGCAAAGGGTCAAAGCTTGGTTTATGAATGAAGGCCTGACTCAGTGATGGAAGAAACAGTCCATCTTCCTGGATGAATCCTAGGATGGATTCCTAAAACAAACATCTGAAGATGCTCTGAGATCTGTGGAGCTTTTGGAAGTATCATCAGACAAGATCAGAGGGAATACCAGTCTTCTAGCCACCAAAAGGTTTCTAACTAGTAAGGCAAGCTGAGATGGGATTAAAATTTCCCAGCCCTCAGTTCTGACTCAAGAGGTGCTGCGAGTTAAGAAGCAAAGAAGAAGGGAAAGCAGCAGCATGTCTGTGGCATTGCCTGGCTATGAAATTCCTGCTGGGACTGCCCCAGCCACTTTCCCAGTAAAAGACTGCTCTTAAAACTGACCACTGTGAAACTTTCAAAACTTCCAGTGTCACACACCCCTCTGAGGTTCTTTTTTTATTACAATCAGGTTTATTAGCCTTAGTATAAATATATAGTTTTGACAATTCAGTTCTAATAAAGAATTAACTAAAAATCATTGCTGACAGTTTTCTCCTCTTTCCTTTTCCTGTTTTGGGGAAAGAAGGCTATTTGTACTTCTAGATGTCTTCTCTCTTCTCTCCAACACCTAAAAGAAGGACAGTGCCTTGAGCCCTGAGGTCTGACAAGGCTAGAATCTTTGCTATTCTTTCTTTCTTTCTTTCTTTTTTTCTTTTTTTTTTTTTTTTTTTTTTTTTTTTTTTGTCTAAGAAATAAATTCTTATTCCCACACAGCCACCTGTATGCTTTTATTGTCATGTTGCCCAAATAGCTACCTAACCCACCTCAGGATTAAAAAAAAACAGACAGAGCATCTTCATGGATTCACCTGTTTATATAATGAATTTTTAGTATCTCAACATTCACTATAGTTTTCTTGGTAGCAATAAGAAGATTCCCTGATATAGTTAGACATGCTCAGACTTCTTAATTTTTATCTTATTATTTTAATCAAGGAGGTAAAAATGATGAATTTTGATATTTATCTTGTGTACAAACACATGTCTGGAATGCTCAACTTTGATTAAACAAGTTAGTTCTTTAGCTATTAAGGTTCATATGATCTTACAGCAAAACAGCAAATGAGTATAAGTTACCTTTAATTAATGGAGAAAATATGAAATATTGTTCAAGCTTGTAAGATATTTTGTACCTAAAAAGAACTAGGCATTATGTTGTATTCTGAATTGATGGAGTCTTGTGCAAACTCTTTGGATCCAGTATCTTCTACGGGAATCCAGGGCACCCCCCCCCTCTTTGCTCTTAGCATCATCTTCCCAGCAAATACCTCATTTGATGATATTTGTCTCAAACATCTACATTTTAAGTTATCTCTCAGTAGGAAGATAGATGACCAGATACATACTGTAAACTTGTCTTGGAATTCACTCAAGTGAATCTCAGAGGGAAACAAATTGCTGTTTGGTTTGGTAATTACAAAGACTAAATGCGTTCTTTATACATCAATTTGAAGATCAAAACTTCTGACTACACGAAATCAAGAAATAGTGGTGAGTGTCATTTTGTGGGGCCAAGCAGATAATTTTGGCACATTCTTAACAGTAATGCTTCTTTTTTAGGATGTGACTTGAAATGGAAAAATTTGGAGCATAAAACACCCCGAGCTGTGGCGAAAGAAGGAGGCTTCAAAGCCGCAAGCAAGGAAATACGTCGAGCTGAGCGGACTGCAGCTAAACTCGCTAGGCCTGGAATCAAAAATCCTAACCCACTCTGGGCCCTCAGACTGCATGACTGGTCCATAGAGCATGAGGCTTTCCTTCGGGAAGCCTTTTCCTTCGTAGACAGGGGTGATGGTGTCGTCAGCAAAGACGACTTCGTGGTGACGCTGGAGGAGAGGCAAGACTTTGCCACCTCAGAGCAGCTGCTTTCCATTGCTCAAATGCACGAAAAAAGCCGGGGAGGCGGGGTCAACATTAACGAGTTTTTTAAGGGAACCAAATACTTAAGCAAGTCTTATGTCTTGGGATCTTTCGGACCTAAGAAGAAGAAAAAGGGTTTGGGCAAAAAGCCAAAGAAAGGCAAGTTTGTTCTACCTCTTCCGATCTGCACCATACCAGAGAACGCCTTTCCGCGGCGGGCAGATGGGGGCCCGCCCTACTACATGGTGGAGACCTACCAGAATGTCACTGACTGTAGCAGGTTCAACCGGGACCACCCGCCTGAGCACCCCATCCAGGACGATTCAGAGTGGTACATTGATGATCCTGGGAAGGTCTTCGCGAATATTAATTTTATCACCAAGGCAGGAGACCTGGCCTCTCTGAAAAAGGCCTTCGAGGCAGGAATACCTGTGGATATGAAGGATAGCTGTTACAAGACCCCACTCATGACAGCGTGCGCCAATGGCAACTTGGATGTGGTCAAGTTTCTCCTTGAAAAGGGGTATGCTTTAAGGGGTTTTGCTATTTCCCCCACTGAAGTGAACAGGCAATTATGACCTGACGAGGATGCAGGCAAGGGGGTGGGACAAATGGAAACGTGACTACACAAAGACAACTTCACACCAAGATGATCACAAAGTGAAGGCAAATACTTTTCATTCTGGGTTGGAAATGTCTTCTAGCTGCTATCTCTTGCTTCTTGCTAGAGATGGAGTAGCTCAGCTTTGCCTGAGGGCCATATCTAAGGTGAGGTGGTTCCCAGTCACATTTTAATCTTCCACAGCAAATATAACTGCCACAATGACAACAGCCACGGTGACAAAGAATAATCCTACCTCTCCATTTCCCCCCCTTCTCTCTCTCTCTCTCTCTCTCTCTCTGTCTCTCTCTCTCTCTCTCTGTCTCTCTCTCTCTCTCTCTCTCTCTCTCTCTCTCTCTCTCTCTCTCTTTTTCCAGACAGGATTTCTCTGTATTGCTTTGGAGGCTATCCTGGAATTCTCTCTGTAGACCAGGTTGGCTTTGAACTCACAGAGATCTGCCGCCTCTGCCTCCCGAGTGCTGAGGTTAAAGGCATGTGCCACCAATGCCCGGCTTCATTTATCTCTTAAAACTAAAACCATTGCTAGTTTAATTGCTATTTCTGCCATAGTTATGTAACTGGAAACAAGTTTCTGAACACTTATATGTCTCTATTTCCCCAAGTATGCAGTCAGCTTTAAAAGGACCAGCTCTGAATTCATTAATGATTAAACAAGTTAAAATATGCAATGTTCTTATCAGCACAATTACTGCAAATCCATGAAAAAAGACATTTAATGTTATTATAGTTTCATGCCAAAGATACTCATTTGCATATTATCAAAAGAGTAACTAAAAATAACTTTAGGGTAGTGAAGCTCTAATGAGGACTAAAATTTTAAATATATCATATTATCTTAAATATATTATAGTGCTTATAGTTTTTTTTTTAAAAAAATGAACATTCATTTAAATTTTAGGAAAGGTAGACACAAAGTGGGCTAATATAAATTTTATCTTTTTGTTAAGCTTTATAAAATTTTCCTTGATTTTAATCTTTGCAAAAACCAGTACCTAAGTAACTTTTCAATTTAAATATATACATTTGTTTATATGCATATAAACAAAAGAAGCTAAGGTTGCCAAATAATGCAAAACAAAAGCATTAAGAAGCATATAAAAACATAAGAAAACTTGCATAGCTGTTTACTTTCCTCAGAGCTCTTCTAATTGATAATTTAGTAAGGGCAAAATTGAATGAAATTCTTTACTTCTTTACTTCTTTACTTTGATTTTTTTTTCAGGTTCCAATATTTGGAATAACTGGAATTCTTAATTAGTGTATCTGTCTTATTATACAGGGCAAATGTTAATGCAACAGATAATTTTCTGTGGACTCCACTTCATTTTGCTTGCCATGCTGGCCAGCAAGACATTGTTGAACTTCTTGTTAAATCTGGAGCTGTAATAGATGCAATGTCAATCAACAACTCTACTCCTCTAAGTAGAGCCATTGAAAGCTGTAGACTGGATACTGTAAAATACCTACTTGATATTGGTGCTAAATTCCAGATTGAAAATAGAAAAGGTATGTGTATGTTTTATTGATGTTTGAGGAAAGAAAGGGGGACTGATTTTATATTCCAAATCCTGTTGATTTTCTTCTTGTAGAAACACAAGCCTTTGATAAATGTTAGGGAAGCATGTCTGGTCCTTACCAGTTTCCAAACCATTGGCTAAAAAGTTTGCAATCTTTGTGGGCTGATATTTTTATGTAAAGTTAAAAAAAAAACCTGGGTAATAAATTGAAAGGACTCATGAACTACCTACAAGCCCAAAGTTCTTTTTAATTTATTAGATTCAGGTAACAAAGTTTTCCCACTGTAATACAGTAAGTACTTTTTTTCTATATGCTTTAATCAGATGATCACAGTGGGATACTTTAGTTACAATGCATAATGATCAAAAACTATAGAAATATATTGATAAGTCTCATGTTTAGACACATATAATGTAAAATTATTTGTATATACACAAACTAAACTTGGAATGTCATTATGAATTTCCATTTTCAGTGCACTTAAAAGTGTATCTCTGATGGCAAAAATAAGTCAAACAAAATTAGAATATTTGAAGCTCCTTACATTTTTTTAAACATTTTTTGAGATTATAATAACAAACAACATTTCTCCTTCCTTTTCATACCTCTAAACTCTCCCATCTACTCCCTTCATCACGTTCTCCTTCAAATTCATGACTCTTTTACTTTGTTAAATACACAACACACAACACAAACACACACACACACACACACACACATTCTAAAACAAATAAATACAACTTGCTCAGTCTGTTTAATGTTACTTGTACATATATGTTTTCAGGGCTGACTAGTTGGTATTAGATAACCAATTGGTGTGCTCTTCCCTGGGGAAGACTGTCTCTTCCACTCTCTGAATTCCTGTTGTTTTTTGTGAAGGACTGAAGGATCTTGCTCTCCCCTGTTCACATTGGTATATCTCTGTTAGTGTTGGCTTTGTTCACGTACTTCTAACCATTTCTGGAGTAATTTGATGTTAGTTTTTTAATGCGGACAATTTTTTACATCACTGCTAAAACTCTTATTTCATAAAAACTGGCTGTCTAAAGACTGTAAACTTTGACATTCTCTTAAAATTGGACAAATTCCTGAGTTGAGGCCTTCATAGCTCTAGGACACACATGGTCCAACACTGTTTGGAGGTGCCTTCCTCTTAACTGGAACTATCTTCAGCTCTGTCAGATAGCATTTTTCAAGTTATTCTTGAATCTCCAGCCTTTCCTGGAGATGTTGAAGGAAAATAATACCTGTCTAGAGTACTTTTCAATACCTGCTTCCCATGACATTTGGAATTTACCTCCTTGCAACAAAGAAAGGGATGATAAAAAACAAAAAAATATCACAAAAAGATATGGTTGGGGATTGAGGGGACAACAAATTTAATATTCAAAATGGAATTTAACATTTCTCACTCATCATTTTTAAGAAAGAAGTGTGTTGATATACTGGGATTTTATAGTGAGGTCCTCTCTGGAGAATGAATATCTGTCACACTTTGTGAACTCAAACTGCCATAAGCTAACATGCTGATTATTTTTTCTACATGGTTTATCATTAAATTGGTTTATATTAACTTTCAATTTATGTTTATGTTTGGAACAGGGCATGCTGCCATGGATGTTGCAAAGGCATATGCTGACTATAGAATAATTGATATGATAAAAGAAAAGATAGATAACTTGCCTAAACCATTGGAAAATCAAAAACTGAAAGGCAAGCTCCCTAAACTGAAGATTGAAGGCACGGACATTAAGAAAGAAGAGGTAAAACCAAAAGAGACTGACTACAAATACTAATGGGAAACCCTTAAAGTCTTGGGGTGTAGTACTGTGTTATGCCATTGCACAACAAGGGAAAATAGCATGCTATATATACCTTATGTAATAGTTATAAAAATAGTCTAGCAAGAAAACTATTACTGAAAACTCTAAAAGGGGTTCATTGTAAACAGAATCCACTCAACATACAAATGATTAGAATATTGAAAAAAGCTGGTATTGAATTTGTATCTGTGTGGTCCCAAATTCTACAGATTTGGTGAGATGACCAAACATAGAGGGAGAGGACATTGTGTTAGAAAGTATGTCCTAAATGCATATCTAAGCTTCTTTGAGGGGAGCAGATGGTTCACTGAATTCCTTATAAAGAAGAGAAAAATTAATGGAAGTCAAGAAATGAACTCCATAATGTCATTGCATTGGGAAGGCTGTGGAAGTATGAAATGATCTGGGTAAAGGAACTAGTCCTGAACTAATAAAGGTTATGTGGTCTCTACCACCTGCACTCCCTATTATATACACCATTGTCACTTTAGGAGGAGTCCATCCTATTAACAGACATAGATCAGGGATATATATCTTGAAAATTCATGTTGTTATTTGTCTCTGATGTGACTAAGTGAATCCCATAAATTATCTCTCCACACCCATTGATATAGCATTAATACTATTCCATCTTATCTCAAATTTTATCATTTTTTCCTTCATAACTTCAAAGTAAAATATAAAAAAATCATACTAATGAATCCTTGATTTTAGCAATTTATACTTTTATAAAATCTTTTCCCAGGAAACACTATCATCAATTTATGCTGTACCAATAATAACAGAAGAAAAGAAAGTACACAAGGATAATGTGGTGTACCTCAATTCACTGATTACCAGTGGTTACACTAAGAAGGTTGATATCACATTTATCCCACATAGGGTAAGTATTTTTGTGAAAGCTTCTATAACATAGCAGAGTTCATAATGCCATTTTTAGCATGCTGACTCTACAGGACATCAGAACAAATGCCCACATTAATTATCCACACTATTGTGTAGGTCTCTTGCCATGTTCTGCCACATTCATCTCAGTAAGACCAACTGTTAATTCTCAATATCTGAGTCCATTTGTTACTACTTCCATACAAATATTTACAATTTCATTAAAAGACTGGTGTCTTCTTTAGTTGATGGTATTCCTTATAGCCATTGAGTCATCATATTCTTATAGGCACTTGGTATTGTAATTTACCAGTATTTACCTGGAAATTTCATACTACCAAGGCTGAACAAACTCACTAGTCTTCTAAAATATCTGCCCCTAAATAGGTAGAAACATCTATGGGGAAGAGAATTAAATTTCCAGTACCCATCCAGCCATTCTGAATAAGTAGCACTTTCTGCCTTCTGTTATGAAAATGATTTGACTTTGGCTTCTAGATTAAACATAAAGGATTTCCCAATTCCTTTGACCTTGTATTTTGATATCATAGAATTAAGCAGCAGTTGGGCCAGAGGTAAGTAGAAAAGGAAGTGAAGAGTATTTCTGATCCCTGTTCCTAGTTGGTCCTTATCATAAAGAGTGATGTTCACATAGCCACTAAGGTCATAACAGAATAAAACAGTAAAATATACTTTAGATGTGGACTTGATAGTTCCAGGTTGGAAGGATGGGAAGTCTTCATAGGCTGGATGTGTAACTCATGGATAGAGTTCTTGCCTAGCATTTGCTTAACTAAATATATAAGAGTAAAAATCACTGGCTGTCATGGTAATAACTACCTTGTTTTGTACTGTTTACTTAAGATTTGGAGTCCTGAAGCCACAACAGCAGAGTTGATCAGAAAGAGGGAACTCCGAAGGGAGAGGTTCACATACGAAGTGGACTTTGAAGACTTCATGATGCCTTTCCAAAAGAACATCATGGAGAAAGCTCAAGCATTGGAAGCATCCCTCAAGTACTAAGTCACAGCAGTTACCTCCTGGGGTTAGTGCTTTGTGGCCCAGAATCCAAAGTTTGGAGAAAGTACGTATTTCCAGCAAAGCCAAGGCAATCTACCCATTGAGAATTGGTTATTAAAAATCAGTTTTTGCTGTAATAGCTATAAATAACCTGAGTTGCATCATACAGCTCTCTTTTATATTATAACAAATGTCAGCTTATACGTATAAATGTCCAGCTTTCATTGAGAGTGCAGTAAACCACACTGAAGTTAGAAATATTATCAAAACTTTATCAGACATACTCTACTGCATTCATTCAAAATATTCCTGGTAGCACACGTATGGCCCTGGGAATCAATTCCCAGAACCACATTAAAAACAAAAACAAAAACAAAACTAACAAGTGATTTTGAAAGGACACATATTTAAAAAAAAAAAACTTTTAAAAATGGGTATAAGTATCACATGCCTATAGTCCCAGCAATATTTAAGGCAGAAGAATGCAAACCGGAGGCTATACAACTGGAGGGCTTATATAACAAGACCCTATCTCAAAAAAAAAAAAAGTGCTGAGATCATAGCTCAGTGGTAGATCACTCACATAGCATATACATGGCCATGGGTTGGTTTCCAATACTACAAAAAAAAAATAATAAAATATACCTAGTAGAAATTGATAGAAGCACAACTTAATATTAAGAGAAAAGATGAGGTGAGAGTTTGTTCCTCAATTACCATTCTAAAGGTGCCATAGATACCTTGGACTCGGTAAACATTTGACAGTATACATAGCACTGTTTCCCTCTACTTTGATATTGTAGAGCCCTTGCATATGACTTTCAAGTGCCAGAGAACGCAATCTTGAAAAGCAGTTACATCCTCTTGAAGCAACTCTCAACTCTCTCTTAGACTAAAGAAAACTGGACTTCCTCACCTCCTGGTTGAATGACTAAGTACATGTTCTCACTGAACAATAGACTTGAGGATGGAGTTAAGGTCTATAAGGTCAATGTCTTACATATATTGCCTCCCAAATACACCTAACTCTGTTTCTGGGTAGCTTTTATAAGCATCAAATATTAAACTAAAAGCCATGAGAATACTCTGAGCTATGATTCTAAAACCACCAGTAAACACTCAGAAGATAAATTCCTTTCCCTTCTGCTTAGAAATAAAACATTCTTTAAGTTTAGAGAAATTACAACCAAGGGACTATCCAAATAGTCTTCATATGATAGCTGATAATTTGAGCAAAATTTCTATATACTGGAAAACTACATGAGAATGACTAGAGAGAACACATTAAAATCCCATTAGTATGTTTGGACAGAGTGAATCAGAATAAAGATGTATTTAAGAAATCCAGAATCAATAACTAATAAAATATGACAGTGATGCCCAAGAAATTGTCCAGAGGGATTTAAACCTAAAGTATTAACTCCTATTTAGAAAGAAAACATCAAGGTTCTGACAGAGATATAGGAGCAGTAGAACAGATGGTGGATGGATGAATGTATGGATAGATGGATGGATGGATGGATGGATGGATGGATAGATGGATGGATGGATGGATGGACAGATGGACAGACAAATGGACAGACAGACGGACAGGAGTGTTATAAGGATTTGGCTTGGAAGAGAGCCAGTGCTGATTGGACAAGTTTCTAAATATATACTAGAGCCATTAAATGTGTCAGCTGGAGAAACTTGGTCAGGCACATTCCATGAAATTCACAAGAGGAGTTTCTTTCTTCCTCAAGAAAACTTGACTTCTATCTCTGCCTCTAAATACATTAAAATGTACAGAAATTCTTTTATATGACCTTATTTCAGCTGCTGAAATGTGTACTGCTGTCAGAGCAATGCTGTGATGTTTCATTGTCGACATCAGGAAGCCAAAACATAAAGGAACTAGCTAAAGAACTTCTTAGATTTTGCTATTACTCAAAGTATTAAACTTTACAGCAAAAGAAAATCCAGGCCATAAAACGTATTTAGTTACTGTGTGCCTTTAGTTCCTTTCAACTTAGAACAGCCCTCCTTTGTTTTTACTATGTTAATAATATTGCCATTTAATAATAAAGGGCAGTCGTATCACAAATATCCCTCAATTTTGTTATATTATTTCCCTAAGGACAGATTCAAGTACTGTGTTTGAGGCAACAATTCCAAGAATGTTATATGGCACTCACTCTTCATACCAGTTTAATCAGGATTAGAATATGGGGAGTTTATGTCACACATCATCATCTAAAGCTGAGACCCTCTAGTTGCTTCTCTATGCACTTAGAGATATCTCAAGGACTATTTTAAAAGTATGTAACTTTTCTTTCATCCTCATCAATTTTACCCACTAATATTAATATCCATGGATGACTGCTTCTGGGATAGGTAGTACTACAGTGACAAAAACAAAAAGATACTATTTTGAAGTTGTCATTTTCCCATTCCTTAGATGCCTTTCCTCTGCTGCTTTCCCTTCTCTTATTTTTTTTTTAAATTTAATAAGCACTCATGCATTCATTTCTTACTTGCTAGGCTGTAACTGTGGAGACAAGTCCATAAATTCCTCTTCAATCTTGAGCTGACACAGCAGGTAAAATAACAAACAACTTACTCCAGATACCCTTTCTGGGAGGTTTATGGCCCTAAAGAAGATGAAGCAACCACTTGTACCTATGTAGAGAAACACAGCCACAAACTTCTTATCTCCTGTCTGTCTTCTTGAAATCACAATTTTCCAAACACATTGTTTTTGTATCTCCTAAGTACCTCTTCTCCTCCCCTGTACCAATTATGTTTGCTCTTAAATATTTCAGTTTACATTATCTCAAATATATACATTTGTGAAGTATAATGTAATTCAGGTATATTAATAAAGCTCAAGATTTGGACGGGAGAGATGGCTCAGTGATTAAGAGGGCTTATTGCTCTTGCAGAGATCTTGGGTTCCATTTCCAGCACTCTTTTTTGCAACTCTTGTTCCTAGGGACCTGTGCCCTATTTTCACTCCCAAAGGCACTGTACACACACTGTATTCGTAAGTTCATGCAGGTGAAATACTCATATACAAGAATAAAAAAATTAATTTGAAAAAAATCTTAAATCCAAGGTGTCCCTTTGAGTCACTTATTGTGGGGCAATAAATATATGGACATATAAATCAATTTCATTTTTCTGCTACTAATCTTTCTTTAGTCTAATTCAAAAGATTCAGATGCTGAACATAACAGGGCAGAAGAAAAAGTTTCCTTCTCTATATTAACCTTTATGAACATCATTTGCTTTGCTTGATCATCAAATTGTCCCTTTTTCGGCCAGTGGAAACCATTAAATATCAACTTCTAATAACAAAAGTGTCTGCTGATATTTATCTGCAGGATTCTCTGCTTCTGGGATGTTCAGGAAAATGCATTCTGGAAAATGAGAAATAGATGCATGGTATTAGCTCTTCATCTTAGTGATATGGAGAAACTTAGCCATTTGTAAACATAAACTGAGAGAATACCAGTCCTATCAGCACCCTTTCCCTACATATGAAATGTGTATTTTCATTCTAGTGGCTCAGTGCATTTGAAAAGGAACTGTATTAGAAGGATATTCAAGTAGAATTTAATGCCAAAACCAAGCAAAGCAAATTCAGAGCTCTGCCAATACCCTGAGAAAACATTGGTGTTACACAGAATGGTTCATGGTCAGCAGCTGCAGAATGAGAGCATGGAGCTGTGTCTCACTTCCCAAACTAGAGTAGAAAAGTCTGTGTGAACAAAACAGTTATTCCACACAGGAAGCTTTACTGGCATAGAGTCTGTCAATGTTACACGAAAAGAAAACTGCACAGATTATACAACTCAGACTTGTAGTTATGTAATATGCAAATGGAGATTTTATAGGTTTTTATGGATTTATGAGATTTGGGGTGTAAATTGTGTTTTATCTTCTATTTAATTTTGACTTGTGTTTTCTGTTTTTTAACAATGAAAATGCAGTACTTTGTAATAAACACATTTATTTTGAAAAACAAAAGGTGGGCACAGAGATCTATAATATCAAAGTATCTAAAGCTTTTCCCATTCAGAGACACTTGAGTCAAGAACTGAAGAGCAAGTGATTTTTGAGAAGGGAGCATCCCCGAGCCAGGTTGACATGGGGTAGGCAAGTGAAAGAGCTCAAGCAGTGAAAGCCATTTCCAGGCATGGTTAAAAACAGCAGCAAAAGAATCTGGGTGTCTAGATTCCTGAGTCAGCCATAAATAGCTACAGGCTGAGGGGTAGGTAAAGAAATGCTCCTCTGTGTTCAGGGATAATTGTTCCATGGAGGTCATGATTACTACAATCTAGAGAGTGTGTAGGAGCTGGGAATCAATGTATAGCACAGCATAAGGTACTAATTTGATGTTACACCATGGAGACCTGGGTAGAAAAGAGAAATTTTCCAACAGACTTGGATTTGGATCTTTACTGGCATTTACTAACTGTGGGCCTCTTTCCAAGTACCAGTAGTCAGTCACCAAGTCTTTGTTTCATCATTTGTAAAGGAGGGATAATAGTTATGTGGCCCTAAACAACCTTGCAAGAACCAGCCAGATGTGTTAGTACCCTCAGGGCCACTAGCCCTATGTACAGTTGGTACTCACTTGTGGTTCACTGTGGGTCATCAGGCATAAAGGAAAGCCAAAGTGGGCAGAGGGAAGAGGACCAGACCTGGAATACACAGCAGTGAATGTTTGCTGACACACACCCAGCACTAGTGAATTTAAAACTTGAAAGTTTCAGGTGACTCAAACATGTGCATATTTACCTAGTTTTCTTTCTAATAATCAGAGATAGTGAAATAATACTTGCTATGAGGCATCAGTACTAATTCTAGTAGAGGTAGTTTCTGTGGATAGTGGCCCAAGAGTTTACTTTTTATTTTGTCTTTAGAAGTTAATTTCCTCCAGTATCTTAAGTAGTTGTGTGAATTAAATTGGTACCTGGAAACAGGCTGGGACAGGATCTCTAGTGCAAGTAATTTGTGGAAGGAAAATTTCTCATATGATACTTGTCAGAGAAAGGTCAACAAGATGAAACAGAAGAAGAAAATTAAGAACTTGAGATCAAGAAGAAATTAATTGGCTCCAGTCTGTCTCATGTGGCACTGTGGAGGATGGATTATACCAACAGAGG